GTTTCCACCAAAATCCGTAGCCAAAGAATATATAACCGCATCAGTAATTTCCATGCACCATTTGCTGGGTTGAGCTTTTTGTTTTCTTAAACGCATCACCAGCTGTTAACATCTCATCCTCGCATACCTTTGTAGTCTGGTTTTACTCAACAGAGTGATTTTACCTCAAGTGGTGTAACAAGTTTGTTGTTTCCACCTTTAGCAGTAACAGTTTTCTTGAATATTTTGAAATGTAGTGTGCTTTGTTGGAGGTTATTGACCGAATTCCCTTTTCCTTACTCCTGCTCCCAGACGTGCTTGTACTTGTGCAATTTATTTAGAACAGTGTTGTCTTTCCATCCATTTTCTACAACTTATCTTTTTTGTTAGTCTGTTGGCCTGGTTGGAAAATGTTTAAGATATTCTTTAAACCTTGTGCAAGGCCCTAAAGGGAAAGTTAGGACAGCATAAACAATATTTTAAAAAACATTTTAAACTGTCCAACAAAGAAAAATCTGTATTTTTCACATTCACATTGTTGTTTATCTTTTAATTTCTGTGATTTGCCAAAATTTGTTTTCTCCAGGTGCTCCACTGATTTCATTTTAAACAAATGGGAATTATTTTAAAACCCAGGACAAGAGACAAGTTACCTCACTTTACACACAGAACAAAGTCTTAAGTAAACATTTTCACTTCACCTTGAGAAGAATTCATGAAGTAGAAACAGATCTGATCTCGAAGAAGCTAAAATAACTCTGTGACAACAGTATGTATGTGAACTGTAAGCTCCGATGATGAAGGCCACTGTTTCTCTACGTATGTGCTTACACCAACTAAACTGTGATCACCATTCTGGATTATTAAAGTCATATATGTGCCAAGGCCTGGTGAAATACCGCTTTGATTTATTATCTAGCTCCTGTTTCAATTAGCCTTCTGAGTTTATGAATCCACCGGGAGCCAGTAAACTGCAAGCATCAAAATGTATCGGTGTGTGGATTTTTCATCCTGTGATAGAATAACTGACCCCAGGCATGAATAGAAATTGTGAGTGTGGGCTGTAATTCCTTAGGCCAAGGGGGCCAGAGCAATCAGCGATGGTGGCAGCTGCCTGAAAAGCACACTTAACACACGCCCTGGCTGCCTGGCTTCTTCACTCCCTACCTTTAAAGTAGTGAAATATTGTGTCCAGACAAGTGTGCCATCAAGTCTTACTCGCTTGCATTTGATCTCCACACACCAACTGACTTGAAGCCAGATTGGGAGCAGCAAATACAGGCTTTCAGTCCCACAACAACAATAAGAAAGAGTTGCAGGTATTTGCGACCATGTTTTGGTTTCATTGTGAAATGAGAAGAAAAAAACCAACAAAAACGAGTGCTTCCATTGGATGTAGCACCCGAACAGTGACAAATGTCTATCTATAGACGCTTTTTTTGTGCACTTTTTCAGACATACCATCTGTGCGTACTAATATTTTGCTGTGATTGTCTACTACCGTGATTGTGCTCATCAGTCTACATGTTCCTTTAGAGACAGAAAATGACAAATGACCTTATTAAGATGCTAGCCTGGTTGGGTTCAGTGGACCGATTCATAGTGTTGTATAGATATATAGCTCCCTTGGGCAAAGAGAAATTAAAACTGTATTTGATTTTTTTTTTAAAAGCAAATCCCACCATTAATACAAGTGCTGCAGTTTAAATGTTGAAGATACCACCAGTTCCTGTCAGGCTGAACCTCTTTCAGTTTACAGCTTATGCAGTCCAGACAGATGGAAATTATATAATGGTATTTCTTATGATTCAGCTACATTAAAAAAGGCCACAAGTCAGTGTCAGTTTGACCTTTCAGACTGCTTTTGAAGCCTCCCCCACAACGATTTAAACCCATACATTCCCTTGTAATGGTTGTGTGTGTGCTAGAGACACAGACTGAAAGGGGGGGGGTTGGTTACCATGACTGTTCTAAGGGGTTTTTAATTTTAACAGTCTGTGAGCATCCTTCGGATGACAGACAGCACACATAGTCTAGTCCCACACAGAAAAGGGCCGCCAAAGAGGAGCTGGTTTTAATCAGAGAGATTTATAACCTCCCGCAAGTTTATTTCTTCCTTCAGAGGTTAAAGAGGCATTTCTCCCATCCGTGCTTTTCCCACTCGACACCGCACAGCGCACACAATGGAGTCATCAAGAATGTCAAACATACACACAGAGACGGAGGAGAAAGAAAGATAAATCAAGATTAAAGAACAGCAGGAAGCAGCTTTTTAGTTTCATTGGCTGATTCTCTACTGAGCTTTCTGCAGCTGGGTGATGCATACTGTAAAAAAAAGAAATCCAGGTATGAGCTCTCTGGGGATTGATCCAATCAACAAACTCATCTCAAAGTCCCAGCAGAAGGATGAAAGCACGAGTGAAGCAGGGAGGGAGTAAAAACATGTTTGGAGCAGCAGAAGAAGAAACAGGCCGACTGTAGGGAAAGAAATGATGTGCAAGATGAGCCAAAACTGGTGCAGATGAAATACTCTGACTCTGATTTAACAGTCAAGTCACAGTAAGAGGGTTGTGAGTGTCTGGATTCCTGCAGGCTTTATATGGAAATGCTCATTTGGGCTATAAAACTTAATTTAACATAAACATGCACTCCTACCCCTAAAGCTTTAACATTTTACTTCCTTCAAAGGCCACAGATCTATGCAATTAAGCACCTTGTTTGAGTTTACTATTCAGTGACACTCCACAAGAGATAACAGCTGCTCTATCAATCTGACAAGAATCTTATGATGTCCTAAATTAACTATTATTACAGATTTCAATAA